CCCCCCCACCCATGTATAGGATCAGCTATGCTCCCCCACACCCCCACCTTGTTGCTGACACTGAGGTTGGGTATTGATCAGGAGCAGCCTGCTTGCTGGTTCTGCAGTAGAGATAACAGATGCAGCCTTGCATGAGCATTTCCTGATATCTGTAGAGTAAGGTGTGTGTGTTGGGGGTGGGGTGGGGGGGTTATCTAGAGGAGGTGCCTGGTTCATCATCCAAACATGCCTTTGAATGCAAAAAGGTTCCCTAATTTATGTCACACATTGAGTTGGGAGAGAACTAAGTCACACAGTTTGGTGAGTAAGGAAAAAAGCCCTTTACACCATATCATATTTTATGACCCTGTGCATTAAAATGGATCGGTCCTGCCTTAGATAAATGGTCTAATTTACTTTTATTGAGCAAAGTAATCATGTTATATCATCTGGTTGGTTTATGCTGCAAGGATTATGGTGATTAGGCTCCAACAGCTGAGCAAAGCAAAACATATTTATTTAAAGGGTCTTTGCTCTTACCTGCAGACAGATTTGTACTTTTTGCTGAAGCATGTGCTTCAGACTGTTGGAAATGTTTCATGTTGTTTTTGTCTCTGGCGTTCAGGCGCTCCTGGAGGTCGTCAACGACCTGTTTGAAGAACAGACTGACCTGGAGAAGATTGTCCGAAAGATCATGCACCGTGCCCAAACGCTGCTGAAGTGCGAGCGCTGCTCTGTTCAGCTGCTGGAGGACATCGAGTCACCAGTACGGTCACTCTCTCTGYTGTCCCGCTGTCTTTGTGTCCATCGTCATGTTCAAGCCTGTTTTGTGGCAGTAAACACTGCATCTCCAAGTGATTTCTCCCCTTTTTTCACGTTTCAGGTGGTCAAGTTCACAAAGTCGTTTGAGCTGCTGTCCCCAAAATGTAGTGCCGACACAGAAAACAGGTATGTGTTTCACCTCACATTAAAACCACCTTATAAATGGCTTTGCTTGACATTTCTCCCTAAACAATAAAGAAATCCTTTATTAAGTGATTTTCCTAAATCTATAAACCATCTGAAAGATGAAGAAATTAGTAAAAATTGACTATTTGGTGGTGATACAGAATAATTTGTTGATTCTGAACTGAAAGCATACCGTGGAAGCCATATGTGATTAGAATAAGCTGCTTTTCTTTTCTGCTAGGCTTGGCTGATTAGAGGAAAAAAAGAGGCTTAATATTGTGTGGGTTGTTTGTGAATGAAAACAACCCTGAAAGGAAGACAAATGACTCCCAATCCCCCCATCACACTAACCCTTGAACACTTGTCATAACCAATATCAAGACAGTGTTGTTGTAGTAAATAAAAAAAACCACAACTTTCAAATAAATAAAACATTAAGAAATTAGTTGCTTTTTTTGACTTTATTGACTACACAGTTTTTGTTGTTCTGTATTTGTCACCATTGGTGAATTCAACCAATAAAACAGCAGATTTCAATCCATGCTGAATAGAAAACAGTAAACTTGCAGTGATGTTAGTTGCACTAAAGGTTCACATCTGAGTAACGAGGGCGGCTGTGCTGTGTGTAATTGAATGAATAAATTTCGTGTCAAAAGGTGATCATACTTTAGAGCCCTTAGTTCATAGCAGCTCTCGAGGATGACAGTTTTGTTAAAAGACTGGCAACGGGTGTTATAGGAGACACAAACACAGGAGTTAAAGCATCGAACCTGCATGGTTTATTCAGCAACGTACCGTGGACCGGCCAGCCGGACAGTGGTGGACAGTAATGGAGTACATTTACTTGAGTTCTGTACTTAAGTACATTTTTTGAGTAACTTTACTTTACTTTAGTAATTATTTTTTGGAGAAGATGTGACTTCTACTCCACTACATTTCAAAGACAAATATTGTACTTTTGACTCCACTACATTTCTTAGAAGCTTGTTAGTTACTCATGACTTTTGGCTCAGTGTAGCTTTTTGATCCACTTTAGCTGTTTTCCTTGGCCACACGTTATGTTCCTCACAAGGGGAACCAATCACAGTCATGGCTCACACCTGGGATAGATTTGGAATTAAGTCACCCTCGTTAACGGTGGCGAGCTGAGCTCCCACCTTCATTTCAAACAGAACCCTATAGACGGTTGAAGAAACTCAAGTGAAGAAACCAGAGCAGCTTGACCATATCTCAGCTTGACGTTTGAGATTTTAGGACTGAAAAATAGTTTGTATCAGTTAAAAGGTCTTATGTTTTCACTGTGGATAAACTACATTTCATAGGGCTGCAACTAACGATTATTTTGATAATCGATTGATCTGTTGATTGTTTTTTCGATTAATCGATTAATCGGCCAAATCATTAAAACGCTTAATTAAATGAATATGAGTAGATATAAATTAAGTTAACTTCTTAAGGATGCAAGTTATTGATAATGAGTTAATCTGCATTTGATATATCTTATAGATTGATTAACAATTAATAAGCAGCCATTTTTTTAAAAACCGGAGTTTTCTCTTAAATCAAGAGGGTCTTCCCATAAAATGAAGGATTTTTTAAATAATCTCCTGAATTAAAAAACAGAAGCACATAATACATATTTCAACAATTAATTTTGCCAGCTGTATTAAATACTGACTGAAAAAATGTGTATTTCTCCTACATGAAACGTAACAGAAATTTAATAGGTTGCTGAATGAGGAAAATAGATTAAAATAATAAAATATGATTTTTAGATGTAAAACTATTATTAATTAATTATAATTAGAATTTATTTACATTTAACATTTTTTTCTCTAATTCTTTACTTTTTGTTTCATTCTTGTTGGTTCTGTTTGACTAAAACATTGTTTGACCCTAGAGCTGCCACAAACGATTATTTTTATAAATGATTGATCACCGATTATTTTTTCGACTAGTCGACTAATCGGATCATACGTTAATTGAATATAAAACATAGAGCTTATGGCGCCAGAATGCAGCTGCTATTGTATAACCATCATTAGATTTTAGCTATATGCTAACTAAAAATAATTGCTGTGGAAGGTAAGTTCTGCTCTGCAGATATTACACAGGTTTCTCTTTCATTTCCTTAAAATGATCCCCCACTTTGAGCTCTGTTGTCAGGTAGCCATGATACCAGAGCCTGTCTGTATAATGTCTTGTGACGTCCACGGCCTACCCCAGTTACCACTACTGTGCATGTGTGTCAAGGACAGAAAGGCAGAGGTGGCAGTGGAAGGTGTCAAAGCAGATTGGAGAGAAAAACAAAGTAAAGAACAACAAAAAAAGAAAACAATTGATCGATTATTAAATTAGTCATCGATTATTTTTTTTAATAAACGATTAGTCGTCGATTAATCGATTAATTGTTGCAGCCCTATTTCTGCATTTAAGAACTCACCACTCACTTTATTATATTTTTATGCTGAAGTCTTTACAGGTGGTGTAGAATTTGTAGCAAAGGGGTTTTACCTGTTAGTACATCAGGTGGTTTCTGAGAGTTACAAGGTTCTGTAAAATCACTCTGAAAACAATACAGCAATGTAATTAGAAAATTTAATTTGTACTTATGAATACTAGAGTATTTTTAAATGCTTGTATTTTTGAATGCCTAAGTATTTTCAAAAGTAAGCACTTCAGTGCTTTAACTTGAGTAGATTTTTGACTGAGCAACTTTTACTTGTAGCTGAGTAAGATTTGACCATGAGTATCAGTACTTTTACTCAAGTACTAGAGTTGAATACTTTGTCCACCACTGTAGCCGGAGCAAAACGATCCAAAGGACCTCACCGCATTTCTATCTTTATTCTTTACAGATAAAATTAGCCGCGCAGATCATTTGTTTGAAGGTAAATCTCAGTGACACCCTCCCACCCCCTCTGCCTTTTACAATGAGCAGGAGGTGTGAATGGTGATCCAGGTGTTTCTGTAGCGGAGCGTGGGCGTTTGGCAACGAGGTAGACAATCCCACAATTAATTTTTTATTACTCCGTAAGACGTGTGCTGACATCCATTGTAAGAGAAGTGCGTTAAGCACAAGTCAAAGCAAAACGATGGTTCGTAAAGTAAAGAGTGTGAAAGAGAGATAAGTAATAAAGCAATAGTTTTAATAGATTTTTTAAAAGTGGGGTTTTGTTGAAATATTGTGAACAGTTAATATTTTACTTGGTTTAATTTTCAGCAAATTGACACGTTAATGACATTAATTAAAACAATTTGAATCAAGATGTGATTCCTACTTACTATTTGTTTAAACCTTTATAATCGTCTCAGTGTTTTGTCATAGGAGAACGAATTATTGCTGCAAAGTATTATTTATGCAATAAGATGACATTTATTGTATATTCTTGGGTGATCAGATGCGAAGAAGCTTTAAAAAATAGTATTTGAGAATCAATTTTTTTTCTTTATTGTGTTTCTTTTTATCATCTTCCCAACTTGTTTCCCTATAGTTTTAAAGACAGCATGGAAAAATCATCTTATTCGGACTGGCTCATCAACAACAGCATTGCAGAGCTGGTGGCATCAACAGGACTACCTGTGAACATTAGTGACGCCTATCAGGATCCTCGCTTTGATGCTGAGGTAGAATTACGCATTCACTGGGATTTCATGTGAACAAAGACCTGTACTTATCTAAACCTGACCCTGTGTGGGCCTGAAAATATTCCTTATAATATTTATTTTTTTGGTTTCCTAAAGCAGAACAAAGTTAAACCAAGTTGTTTTAAAAAAGCACATATTTTAATACAGCGAGTTTAACCTAAAGTCAACATTGTACAGGTTTTATTTACTAAGACTGATGATGATCTTCCACTTTTCCTAGGCAGACCAGTTTTCTGACTTCCATATCCGCTCTGTGCTCTGCGTTCCTATATGGAACAGCAACCATCAAATTATTGGTGAGTTCTTTTTTTAAACATTGTAAATTCCAGTAAAAGGTTACAATGAGAAGGATATGGGGAAGGCATGGTGCGCAGGGGTGTCAAACTCGTTTTCGCCAAAGTCCACATGAGCGTTCTGGTTGTAATCAATGCGGATGTTTCATGTTTAACTTTGACTACACACGAAACATCACCTTTCTTGTCTTACTGCTATGGCTGAGCAGCACTAATAAACTATTACTGAGCTCTACGTGGTATTTCCTGCATAGAAACAGCTTTAGTGGGCGGGACGATGTCGCCTGTCACAGCCAGAGTTTGACACATGTGCAGCATTTATTTGAATGTTAACGTGCTACATGTGAAGCATAATTGAAAACCTTTTGAAGTTACTAACTCTTCCAGTTATTCCAAAGGAGTCGCATTTTCTGTTTTTTTTTTTTTTTGTTTTGTTTTGTTTTGTGCAGACTTGTGCAGCTATCTGAAAATCATCTCTGCTTGTGAGCAGAAAGATTGGTGCAAAAAGAAGCTGCTCCCACAGATTAGCACTGGAGACCCTAAAATGGGATTTTACAGATAATTATGAAGCTTTTAGAGTTGTAATTGGAACTAGGGGGCTCAGATGAAAACATGGAAACAGCCTACATACTGCTGCGTGTTGTGTTCAGGAGCCGGTTAAATGCTCGGCACACAGCAGTGCCCCTTTTTCTGCTGCATGAAAGGAACAGCAGGGGAGAGGGAAGCTTGTTCATGTGTTCATTTGACACTGCATTTGTGTGTGTGTCTGTGAGTGTGTGAGCTACACTATCACTCCACAAGTGAAGGAGGAGTTTCCCTCTGTCTGCCAGCGTGCTTTGTGTTTGTGAATTAGCCACGGACTAACGACACAAGGACACTCTGATAAAGCACTGATCCCTTCATCTGGTTTTGGTGCTTGGATGTTGCATCGAGGACCGGAGGTGGCTCCTCCCCCATCGGTCCGCTGAGATCTGACGCAGGAAGTCATTAGTTTTATTTGAGCGCTAAGTGATCAGCACATTTGCTGCAGATGGTTGGTTAAGACCTGGGTGCGTCTTTGTGTAGGTGTCAGTGCATTTGTCGGGGAGAGAAGAGAGGGAACGAGAACGGAGAACAGAAAGAGTGAGGGGAGAAAGAAAGGCAGTGCGTGGGAGGCACCTGAGGATGTTGAGTGAAAAATCATTCCACAAACAAAGCAGCAGACATGAAATTCTTAAGCCAAGGAAACATTCAGAAAAAATTAATGCCCGCAAGTCATTGTAACCTTTGATATATGGCAAATTTCAAATTGTAGCATTGTGTCCAAATATCTGCAGCTGTGATTATTTTTCTTATCATTTAAATCCTCACAAGTTACTGATCTTAAAACAAATTCTGTTTTTGTTTAACGAATAKTCAAACTGAAAATCCAACATGAACTCAACGCAACATGTACTGTTGAAAACACAGCAAAAAATGTCCAACGTCCAACCAAGTCTTAGAATCTTATATCCAGCCTGAATCATTTTTGATCTTGTTTTCAGACTGATATATAAGCAAGAGCAGAATGTGTTGGATTATTAATCTTTTTAGCCTGGCATTTTTTCTTATTTCAAGAAGTCTTACCAAGTGCAATTGTCAGATTAATTCATTTAATTTGAGAAGTTTCAGACTGTAAGCATTTTTCATATTTTAAAACATATTTTTAGATGGCTAATTTTTGCAGTGTAGATCACAATTAAACCATCGTTTGATTCGAACAACACATTTTTACTTCAGGGCTTGTATTTTGTGGGATCAGGTTTCAAATTTCTAATTTCTGAGCTGTATGGATTCAATATATTTTATCCCTTAAAAGTTTGCATACCTACATAAAAAAATCCAGTAGAGTCATTGGAAGTGTTGCATACCAAGGAACAACCATATTTGACGTAGACCTGAATCACTTTTGTACAAAATTTGTCAAATCAGAGTCATTTCCCACTTTTACAGAACTGTTGTTTGTGATTTGTCGTCTTATGATAAACAGCAACTGTATGGTGAATTTGACTTCAGCCCCCCTCCCTTTTGTTTGATGCAATTCCTTCTGGGTTCACACAGTGCTGAGCTGGTTGCAGCTCTGGTCTGGTGAAGCTCTAAGCAAAATTTGACACCCCCTCCACAGTTTGCCTCTAGGCGAATAAACCGCATTGTGCAGTCACACAACTCTGCAAAACCTTGTACAAAGGATTGAAATAGTTGTTCAAAATAAATAAATAAAACAAATGAAACCTTTTTTTTCTGATTTGGAGAGTGGTGGCCACAAAGCACCTAGCAGTCATTTTAGTTTGGTTAATGACGCCATGCTGCAGTGCAACACAAATTAAAAACTGATAACATCAAAAATAACAAGACATTTGAGAAAACACAAGTCGTCAAGACAAAAACTGGTTTTAACTGGAATGCTAATGTGTTTTTTTTACTGGTTTAAAATATTAAAACGCAATAATAATGGTAATGTGTGATTGTTTTCTTCAGCATCATTTCTTTGTGACAATAAAAGTTGCTGTATTAATTACATGTTTATACATTTTAATTAATCTGTTTTTAATTAAGGTGATGGGTATTAAATAAAAGGTTTTATTCCCACAGGATCTTTGTGGAATTTGAAAAGTGCAGATTTCATCACATTAAATGTTAAGATTGATCTTCTCTAAAACTGAATAGTGGCTGGAGTTTACTCACACTTCAGTATCAGCCTAAAAGTCTCACTTCGACGTTTTGTCTGATAAATAAACCGATCTTGTGCAACAGGTGTCGCTCAAGTGCTGAACAGGCTTGATGGGAAACCATTTGACGATGCAGACCAACGTCTCTTCGAGGTATTTTTTTTCTTCTGGGTGTACTCTTCTTAGAATATCTTTTGAGCATATTTTTTAACTTTTTAAATCTGTCCTCCTTCTTAGGCATTTGTGATATTTTGCGGACTGGGCATCAACAACACGATCATGTACGACCAGGTGAAGAAGTCTTGGGCCAAGCAGTCGGTGGCGCTGGACGTAAGAGCATGACAACATTTGATTCCTTGTATTCCCATTTTAAAAAGGGACTATTCATCTAATGAGGTTTTGTGGAAAGGGTTCGCACATTTAGTATGTAGATAGCTTTTTGAATAATTCCAGTTTAGACAAGGGGTTTAAACCTGACCAGACAGGAGAGCTAACAGCAGAGCCAAGACTGGTTTGTGAAATTTATAAAAGTTATTTATAAACCTTTACACTTCTGTCAATTTTGCATTACATGGTTAATCCAGCAGAAATATTACAATATCCCAGGCTACAGTTTGCTACTTGTAAAATAAACCCATAGCATTCAGTGTCAGTAAAGGTGAAATGCAAAAATATGTTTGCATAAAACAGGAAGTTTTCAAGCAATCCACATTTGCCTTGATCTCACTCAGACTAGTCTTTTGCTCATTAATCTGGTCAGAATTGAACCATTTCTCCAAACTGAGGCTGTTCTAATAGGGGTGTAAATCACCAGCTTTATCACAATACAGAATTATATCGATTTGTCTGCATGGTGATACAATGTTTCTCAATGTTACAAAGTCTGTCATGAAACTACAGGTGCTGGTCATAAAATTAGAATATCATGAAAAAGTAGATTTATTTCAATAATTCCATTTAAAAAGTGAAACTTGTATATTATATTCATACATTACATACAAACTCATATATTTCAAATGTTTATTTCGTTTAATTTTGATGATTACAAATGACAACAAATGAAAATCTCAAATTCAGCATATCAGAAAATTAGAATCTTGTGAAAAGGTTCAAAATAGATGGCACCTGGTACCACACTCTAATCAGCTAATTAACTCAAACCACCTGCAAAGGCCTTTAAATGGTCTTTCAGTCTAGTTCTATAGGCTACACAATCATGGGGAAGACTGCTGACTTGACAGTTGTCCAAAAGACGACCATCGACACCTTGCACAAGGAGGGCAAGACACAAAAGGTCATCGCTAAAGAGGCTGGCTGTTCACAGAGCTCTGTGTCCAAGCACATTAATAGAGAGGCGAAGGGAAGGAAAAGACGTGGTCGAAAAAAATGTACAAGCAAGAAAGATAACCGCACCCTGGAGAGGATTGTGAAACAAAACCCATTCAAAAATGTGGGGGAGATTCACAAAGAGTGGACTGCAGCTGGAGTGAGTGCTTCAAGAACCACCACACACAGACGTATGAAAGACATGGGTTTCTGCTGTCGCATTCCTTGTGTCAAGCCACTCTTGAACCACAGACAGCGTCAGAAGCGTCTTGCCTGGGCTACAGAGAAACAGGACTGGACTGCTGGTGAGTGGTCCAAAGTCATGTTCTCTGATGAAAGTAAATTTTGCATTTCCTTTGGAAATCAAGGTCCCAGAGTCTGGAGGAAAAGAAGAGAGGCACTTCATCCACGTTGCTTGAAGTCCAGTGTAAAGTTTCCACAGTCAGTGATGGTTTGGGGTGCCATGTCATCTGCTGGTGTTGGTCCATTGTGTTTTCTGAGGTCCAGGGTCAACGCAGCCACATACCAGGAAGTTTTAGAGCACTTCATGCTTCCTGCTGCTGACCAACTTTTTGGAGATGCAGATTTCATTTTCCAACAGGACTTGGCACCTGCACACAGTGCCAAAGCTACCAGTACCTGGTTGAAGGACCATGGTATCCCTGTTCTTAATTGGCCAGCAAACTCTCCTGACCTTAACCCCATAGAAAATCTATGGGGTATTGTGAGGAAGAAGATGCAATACACCAGACCCAACAATTCAGAAGAGCTAAAAGCCACTATTAGAGCAACCTGGGCTATCATAACACCTGAGCAGTGCCACAGACTGATCGACTCCATGCCACGCCGCATTGCTGCAGTAATACAGGCCAAAGGAGCCCCAACTAAATACTGAGTGCTGTACATGCTCATACTTTTCATGTTCATACTTTTCAGTTGGCCAACATTTCTATAAATCCTTTGTTTTTATTGGTCTTCAGTAATATTCTAATTTTCTGATATGCTGAATTTGAGATTTTCATTTGTTGTCATTTGTAATCATCAAAATTAAACGAAATAAACATTTGAAATATATGAGTTTGTATGTAATGTATGAATATAATATACAAGTTTCACTTTTTAAATGGAATTACTGAAATAAATCTACTTTTTCATGATATTCTAATTTTATGACCAGCACCTGTATTTTGATTCAATTCACTTCACAAGACAGCGATTGATGTGATGCTATATCATATGATGTCGGGCAGACGAGGACGATATCGATCAATGTTATCTTTACACCTTGATGTAATTGAATCAGTAATCATTTAATCGATATATTGATGTGGATGGATGTGTTGTTACACCCCTACAACAAATAAGATACAGTATAATTTTAAACAACCTTTCTACTCAGCCCAATCTGAAGTGAAATTCTTGAACTATTGAGGCAATATAAATATATGTTGTTGTTTTTTTTGCTTCTCCTGTCTTTTTGTGTTGCTTGGCTGTATTGCATTATTTATTTAAGATTCATACTATCTTTTAAATAATTTATAAAATGAGCTTACTGATCATTCTACTCTTATTTTCATAATCAATGTATGCTCATGTTTAGCCAAAAGTCACAGGAAACAGCAGCTGATACATGGAAAAAAAACTCTTTACTTTCTTAGTTACTTTGGTCTCAGGGGTCTTTGTACTCCTTTTTATAGTTTCACATTTCTACAAAAAAAGTATGCACGAACAAAAACGTGCTGATCTCTCTTTGTGAGTAACCTTCTTACAAAAGGTTTTGTTGAAAATTRATGTGAGGCAGCGAAACACAATCCCTCATCTGCCCTGCAGAATATAACCATTCAGCACTAGTCAGCCTTTACAGAATATCCATAGATCACAAAAAGAAGCGCTTTTGGGTGCATTATGGTAGTTAGCATCGGAGCTGCGAAATAGGAGAAGCAGCGAACAGATAGCTGGAACAAATGCAGACTGAAACCTAAGTGTGCCCTGCTTCTGGGGAACCTTGAATAAACATGAGCATTTATGATTAAACAAGCAACTGTAAGTCTGTGCAAGGTATTTCTCCCAGGGAATGAGAGCAGCGTGGTGATGAAATCACTGTTGACACTGCTGCTATGAGTGCTCCAGATGCAAGCGTTGAGTTCATTATAGAGGTCCAAAAACTACACCCAACTATTCTGTAGTGTTTTCAATCCATATGAAGCTGATTTGTACCAGTTAATTAAAAATATATAAATACTGACTGATGCTTTCATTAATTTACAGGTTCTGTCGTACCATGCCACATGCTCCAAGACTGAAGTGGACAAATTCAAGGTGATGTTCCCTGTTACTAGTTTTGCTTCACTTAAAGTTATATTTCAGTTTTTTTTTTGAAAGTAAAGTGCAGTCATGCTTCTATCTTAAAATCTCTAACCTCAAACATGTCATCGGAGTTTCAGTAAACAATCATTAATTTTGCTTTACATATTTGTTTGCAACAGATTCTCTGGATTATTTCAAGTGCACAGAGAAAGAACAGCAACTAGCTGTAACAGTTCTGGTGCAGCCTGGTCCACTTCTGGCAGGAAAATCACAACCTGCTGAAATAATCATGCAGTGCAAAACTTAAGGCTCCTGCATACTCCATCCATAGTTGGAAAATTGTTGATGTAGTTCGTAGATTGTCAGTTTGTTTGTAGAGCAGCAACAGCCACCCCTTCTTGACACAAGGCTTGGGACAAACTTTGTCTCACATGAGTTTTGTCTGATTGGTCAGAAGTTCATGGACGTGTTTTACTTCTAATATTTAGCTTCAAGAAGCCAACTGATGTGTGTCCAAACAACATGGATAGTTTTGAGAAGCAGTTATCTGAGACAGTCAGAAAATACATCATCTATGCTGTGTTCAGATCGAACGCGATTGGAGCATCATTGGCATCTGGTTTACATGCAAAGTCAATGGTGGACACGCGCCAAGGGGCATCGGGAAGTGCTGCAGCACGTATAGCGTGTGTTGAGTGTTTTGAGCATTTGACGCACCGGAGTCGGAAAATCTGAACTTTTGCAGTTTGACGCGGAGCGTCAACCAATCAGAGACTCCACTGTGTGAAGTAGTGGCACATTTTCTGACAGGACTGTCTCCTGAATGACACCAACTAACCTGAGACAGATGGACAGGAGCTCTTCAGCTGAAATCGAGTGCCTGTAGTCGTTGTCCTGGCAGGAGATGCGGAGCCGATGCGGGCCTTGTGTGAAAAACAAAATTCTTCATGGTCTTCTGCCTCATCCTTCGCTCACGCTGAGCCTATTGTTGAAGATTGTTTGTTTGGCTCACTTACCAAAGACAAAAGAGAAATCCCACAACTGCTAAAATCTGATGCCACTCTGGTTTTGTTTACATTTTGTGAAGAAAGAAGTAGCACTCAGTGTCTTGTTTCTAGGTTTTCATATTGTTTCCTTCATTGGGTCTGTGTGCAGCGCCACCACAGGTGAGAGGGTGAACACGTTCAAAGGATTTGGTTCATTTGACACAGTGCAGTGTAAAAACGAACGGCACCAGCTGAAAAGGTAACAAATGCTGCAATTTTGATCCCCAATCAAACCGAGTCTACCAGACTATCAGGTGTGAAAACACCCTTACAGACAGTCAAATGGACAAAAACTCAGACATTGTGCATGAAAGAGTCCGTCTTCACATATACCTTTCAAGGGTAGAGCGCCACAGTTTAACAGACGAACACCTGGCAACCATGGAGTCGACTGACTTTGGATCAAATACGTTGGGCTCTTTATCATGGGGTAAATGGCTTGTACAGTACTAACACAAAGTGCGTTAAATCTTTTCCCATTAAATGACCAGTCCTCATTTACTTTAATGGGAAAGAAAGAATCTATAGTGACTGAAAAGAATAATTGGCAGCCTGTCTTCAAGACTTGATTTGGCCCCAAATATGGGACACTGATTCTCCAGAGAAAACAAATTGTGGCATTTAAGATAGATCGCTTCAATCAATGAGCAAGCATTTTCAATGCATTGTTTAAAAAGATAGAAATACCAAAAAAAAAATCTACATTTTAAATTGGTATGACATTTCTGAAATATAGATATGACCTATTTTATTATTATTATTTAAAAAATTTTTTTGCACTTTCATGTGCAGGATTTTCCCTTGCGGCCATCACCGTGTAGTAGGATTCCCAGTCTCTGGTGTGCTCGTGTGATTTTCCTGCCCCCTCATTCAGCATCCCGCTCTGCTTCCTTCCTTCCTTCCTTTCCTCACCCCCCACTTTCTTTCATAACTGCTCTACATACGGCGCCTTATTGAGTTCACTTGCTTGGGATTCCATTGGAGTGCAAAAATGGAGACAAACAAACCTGGTTGACATTTTCTCACCCGGAGCTACGCATTAAGAAAAGTAGAATACCTGCTAACCTTGACAGGCAAATATTTGATGGGGAAACACTGCCGGTAACAGAAGAAAAGAGACACAGCTGCACTGAAACAGTGAGCTGTACATACATAGAATGGATGTTTAAAAGCTTGAAATGGACATTTTGTAAACGGCTACACTAGGCACGGAGAGCATTTCCTGCTCAGATTGTCTCTGCAATAGTTAATAAAGATAGAAGACATGCTTCTGAATGAACGTGTGCATTACTGAAATCATATTTTTTTCCTTTAAATAATAATAATTTTTTAAAAATGTGTTGATCTTTACTGTTGCGCAGCCGCATTTATCAATGAGCTCGGAAAGTAAACAAACAATCCTTCGGTAAAGCTCCCTCATTAATTTCACCTCCCTGTAAATGAGGCCTCCGAGTCCTAATTAGCATGTCTTCACATTTTCATGTATCATCATCTAAAAATGGCACAGCTTCCACTGACCTACCCCTCCACTCCTGCTCTGTGGGCTCATGTTCTCATTGCTCCTCTTTTGTTTTCTCTCGTCATGATGAAACAGGCTGCTAACATCCCCCTGGTCTGCGAGCTGGGCATCGATAAACTCTCCTTTGATGATTTCTCCCTGGACGTGGACGCCATGATAACCGCAGCACTAAGAATGTTCATAGAGCTAGGAATGGTGCAAAAATTTAAAATCGACTACGAGGTGAGCTCACTGGCTTTCTGTGTCTCATTTCTTTTGAATACTTGCTTGGATTTGCCCTGAGTGCCGTTGTGCGTCCTCATGAGGACAGCTGACCCGTGTGATCATCTCTCTCTGCCCCGTCTTCCCCTCCAGACACTCTGCAGATGGCTGCTGACTGTCAGGAAGAACTACAGGCTGGTTCTCTACCACAACTGGAGGCACGCGTTCAACGTCTGCCAGTGCATGTTTGCTATGCTAACGGTAAACATCCTGTGAGCTATAAAGCAACAAGGCGTTTATGAGACATGCTCATGCAGTTAATTGTCTTTGAAAAAACACTCCGGTGGTCTGAGCATCAACCTGATGGATGAAAAAAGCACGTCTATAACTTAGTAATTGATATAAAAAGACAGAATTAATATAAATGATCATTTCCAGAGCATTTACTTTTAACAACAAATACAACAATAATTGATTTAGGTTTTGCAGTTTATTTATTTTTTGTTTGACCAGAATAAGCTATTCTTATCAGTGACATTGCACCAGAATATTGGGGTAACAATGAGACATGACACGTGCTTAACTGGACAACCAACAGTTGATAAATGATTCATTCTGTCAGAATTTATTAGAATTTATGCTTAAACATTTTTATCTGATCAATAATGTTATAATTATGAGTCACTGTTGTACAGACAGGTTTGTGTAAATGTGTTTGAGTCGAGTTCCCAAGAGAGTTGTGTTTTATGGTTT